TGGGGACCTTAAGTTTTTTTTTCTTGGGTGGGGGGGGGGAAGGGAGCATCTGTTTATGAGAGACAGAGAGAGAAAGAGCATATGGGCCCGTATGTGTGATAGAGAAGTCTTGCATCAAACACTTGGAGTACACATTCTCCTCTTCGTTCATTTTTAAATGGAGAGAGAGACAGAATATGAGTCCATGAGGGGGCCTCACATGAACATTTGGAGGCCATCTTCTTTTTCTTGCTCTTATATGTAGAGTGAGAGTGTAAGCGTTCATGTGAGAGTTTGTGTATGTGTGTGTGAGAGAGAGGTCTCGCATCAAACACTTAGAAGCCATCTTCGTTTTCTTGTTCTTCTCATATGTAGAGAGAGCAAGCCTGTGAAGGAGAGAGAAGGACCTTAACCATTTGTTATAGGCTTTAACTATTTTTTTTTTTTAGGGGACACTCGCCTCCCTGCCCCTTTTGGGCTGCACTATGCGCCTAGGGGTTTAGGGTGTTAAAATGCCACCACAAAATGTTTCCCCCATTTTTAGGAGGGAAAAAGTACCTTTTTTGCTCGGCCCTCAGCCAAGTTGCATCAAAGTGGCGCCTAGATGGCACCTAGGAGTAAGAATGCCTTGGCCACTGCCTATACGTGTTTTTGCCTGGCTGCCTAGGTGACGGACAGCATAGACATTTTGGGAGCCTGGCTACCATTATTTGAAAATTCAGCCGCCGAGGCAGCCGGGCAACCAAAACCTAGGCGGGTGCCCTAGCCATCCTTGCTCCTAAGCTCCCACCCTATGCAGCCTTGAAACAACTTGGTCATGGCCGATTGAGGGCCAAAAAAGTCCCTCAGCCAAGTGCAAAAAAGTATGTGCTGCCCCCCTGTTTCCCTTAGAGAGGGGAGAAAGGGTTTGGTGGGGCAATGGTGTAAGCCCCTCAACAAACATATTAAGGGGGCTTATGGTTTTTGGGATCATATCACGAATTTTTGGCTACTTCAAAGGAAAACTAATGGCTAATCGGGAGCAATTAATGGTAACTTGAGGAATTGAGTTGAATTTTTTTTATTATTTCAGAAAGATGGCTTCTTTTATTATTTAAACGTGATTTTGAATGATCGTTGATGATAAAAAGGACAAGTCATGATGATATGTGGTACTAAATGTGCAAGGGATCCTCACAAATATGGGTTAGTTGCATGTTTTGGTTAAGTAGAAGATTAATTATAAGAAAATTGGCAAAACCCCACAAAACATTATAAGAAATTTGACTATGGATTAGTGTAATATAGGATTGCACATTACACAACAAAGACATTGTGTCAAATAAGTAAAAAAGTATTGAGTATATCCCTTCATGTATGCATTTGAAGTTATTGAAATATTATTGTTCCGCAAAAAAAAAAAAAATAAAGTGTCTATGCTTGAAATAAATAAACCATAACCAAGGTCTAATACATGCCGGCACCACCACAAGCCCCCCTCGATGAGTGAAGGTCTTTTTGGGCACCAGCCTAGACGGCCAAGAATCCAAACCACCTAGATGGGTGGCCCCCACCTTCTTAAACATTGTGGGCCGCCTCGACGGTGGGCGGCCTAGGCGTTTTGTTGGTAAAGGGAAAAGAGAGAAAATAACACCTACAAGCAAGCAAACAATAAAGAAAATATGCAAGAAGGAACACATAGAATTTAAGTTGTTTGTCACATATGTCACTAAATCCATGGGTGTAAACGGTTAACGCTTTTCACTATTCCAAAGTACAAATAAGTACAAGATAGCTTTGACCCGAGAGAAGAGAAAATACACTTTTTCTATCTCTCACGAAGCCCTGCACCTTCACATGGATTTCTATTCACCTTTATGAAATATCTCTCTTACATACACCCCAAGGTTTCTCTACACCCATCAGTTCTCTATGTAGCAACCCTACATAGAGATGTCCCTAGCATGATCCCCAAGCTACCCAACTTGAGGTATCTTAGAGTCCTAGACAACCTCCAACAAATCTCCACCTTGGCTAAAATTCCAAATGAGATTCCATTCGACCGTCTTCTAATCTTCTCCACACGCACAAGCACTCACCATGGCAGAACGTTAATCAAGTTCAAGCGTTGTTGAACTTCTGTATTGGAATTAGCTTTTTCAACATGAACATCCTTCTTAGTATCAATCTTCAACAAGATATCACTCACAACTATTATCTCACAGATAAAATGATACATGATGTCAATATGCTTTCTCCTAGCATGATAGACTTAGATCTTCACCAAATGTATTGCACTTTGACCATCTGAATAAATGATAGTCCGATCTTCTTGTAAGCCCAAGTCACATACAAGTCCTCTAAGTCAAATAACTTCTTTATGCTTCCATAATAGCCATTTATTCTACTTCGATTGTAGACAAGGCAACTAAAGGACGTAACATTAACCTCCAACTTATCGAAACTCCTACAAGTGTAAACACATACCCTATGGTAGACTTTCTTCAATCCAAATCACCTGCAAAATTAGCATCTATATAACCAATAATATTCTTATTTATCTTGTTGTTATTGCTAACACCAGACCCACATCTGATGTACTCCTTAGGTAATGCAGTATCTATTTTACTGCATGTCAATGCTCCTTCCCTAGGTTAGCTATATACTTATTAACTACACTAACATCATGAAAAACATCTAGACAAGTGCACACCATCACCTACATGAGAGTTCCAACTGCACTTGCATGAGGACAAGAAACATTATTCCCTTTCGGCATGCCATCTATACTCAATTACACTTGTGTAAGGTACTCTTCTTGCCACACATTATAAAATGTCGTTAGTAATTATTGGGGCTTGCCTTGGAAGCAACCTTAGGTTTGGCCCAATGTAGCTTGGGGAGCGAGCTAGGGACCTCTATATATAGGGCTTTTATATAGAGAGGTAATAAATGTAGAGAGGCCTTAGGGTGAGTGTATGAGAGAACGGCTCCGTAAAATCAATTAAAAGTCTACATAAAGATGAGAGCCTTTGTAAGATATCACCGTAGTGTGTGTTCTCTTTTCTCTCAGGTAAGAGCTATCTTGTACTTCTTTTAACTCGGGTATAGTAAAAAACTATTGATCCTCTACACCCGTGGATGTAGTCATATATATGCCAAACCACGTAAATTTCATGTTCCCTTCATTATTTTCTTTTTTTTTTATTTGTTGCTTTCTTATTGTTGCTATTTTATCACTCTATAATTTTCCAAAATCAGCATGTTTGGCATAGAATTGTCACGCTCAAGTCAACAAGTAGTATCAAAGCACAAGGTGTGTATGGGGCTAAGGTTTGCATTTCTGATAGAGAAAAAGGCACATAACCAAGGTAGACGGATAAAAGGTTTGATATGCAGAAATTTGGACACAAAGTGCTGTGAAAACTCCACAATAAAGGCAACACTATCCAATGGATGTCAGCAAGATATATTGTGAAATTCCTATAAAGTAAATATTTGTTAGATTTAGTAGGAGCCAGAATCACTACTCCTATGATCCCCTAAAAAGATTAAAAGTACCATGGCCATTAGTAAAGAATAAAGGGTTATTCTTGGGGAGTAAGAGAACCTATTCGCTATATAAAGGAGTCATAGCACCCTATTGGGTCAGCCTTTTGAGGTCATGGAAAGGGACCTCCAAAAGAGGGATGGGTCTCCAAAAGTGAGAGACATGGCCACCTAGAGAGGTGTGGTACTCCATGGGGTTTTCAGTTTGTTCAATTTTCACTTCTAGAAAGAGAAAGTCACCCGGTTTCTCTCAAAAGTGAATGCAGAAATTACCCAAACTCATGACTCAACAAACATGCAATATACACACACATACACCCCAATACATAGAGAAAAAGCATATAAGAAAACCATTTACTTTTGGTACAAGGTTACAATCACTCTTTTCAATCGGATTTCAAATCACGTGGTTGCGAGTGTGTGATTGACTGAAGAAAAACTTTCTCAGACTTCATGACACAACTCAAGCTGTCCAATTTGAAATCGAAGGGCTAGAGGTATTTGTGACCTCCTTATAACAAAGGTAAATGATCTCAGAGTATACAACCCCATTTATATATATATATATGGGAAAACTTTATATACTTCTCCTATTGTATATAAGTTGTATACTTTTAACCCCAATCCAGCCGTCCAATTTACATCAAGTGAGCCACTGATCGTTTGATCTAGATCAAACATCTCAGAGTATTTCATTATTAATTTTTTTCCACAAATCATATGAATATGAAATTTAGTACATAACATCATCTCAATGGGGCACACCTAAAAAACATTAAAAAAAAATATTCCCAATAAAAGAAAATGACCAACGTACCCCTGAAACTTTCAGGGGTATTTTGGTCATTTTATTTTATCGAGAATATATTTTTATATTTTCTTAAAGGTGTGAGTTCAGGAGAGGAGTGGACGGCCAAAATTCAGTGTCAAAATGTTGCGGAAAAAAATTTAAAAAAATAATAGTATAGAGATGTGACATTGTGATTAGGTCCATCACAGTCATGCATTCAGATCGGATGGCTAGATAGGGGGAAGTACATAACTTATATACAGTAGGGGAAGTATAAAAAGCTTTTTCTATATATATATATATATATATATTGAGGAACAAAATAATAGACAAAAATCAAAGCTGAACTTACAATTCAAGGGACATATGATCAATTATTTTTGGGGACATATGATTAATTATATTTCACACATTTATAAATAGTAAACCACTTCTTCTGAATCACAAATAAAACAAAGAAATATCAAACGCCCAAAAGTTGACAATGTAGGGGACGAGAAACCACAGTTTCGCAAGACAGGCTCTACCTAGAAAAATCCATACCACAAAAAAATATCTCTGAAAAAACCCAATCTTTTAAGTGTCCTGAATTTGGGAAAATTAAATGAAGCAATCTGTAAATTCCATACACATTGTAAACTAAACAAACCATCTCAACAAGAAAACATGAAGCACGCTAATATACAATCTGGGAAACATATACCTCCAAAAATGAAGCATTTTGAGGATCATTTAAGCTCCTTAAAGGACCATCATCAACAGTGAATCCATTACTCCAGAAAGTAATGTTATGAACCACAGACTCAGGTGGCAGAGGGGCAGTTTGTACAGTTTCCCCAGTGAGCAGTCTCGCAGTCCCTGTAAAACTTCTTGAGCTTGAAGATGGGCGAAGTTGGTCAACAGGTCCGTCCAAAGCTCCTAAACGTCTTGCCTGATCGAATATAGCATCCACATCATCACCACCCTTAGTGGGATCTTGCACAAGCATACCACTGCAAAAACACAAGAGTAAGCTCAACAACAATTGGAAAATACTGTACTACTACAATAGACTATGGCCTAAACAAATAAAACTCAGGATGCAAAAGATAATCACGTTTAACAAAGGAAAAAACATATTAGCAGATCTCTCAGACTTATCTGACAAAACAAAATAGCCTTTGATATTATGTCCTAGATACAGACATCTAGAAAGTTGCCACAAGGAAAACATTCTAAAAAAGGGACTTATGATATTTCCTTTTCTGAATCAGATACATCCTGCTAGTAGACATGAATAGACCTCACTTCACTTGATGCCGTGTAGGCCCATAATCGCTCAAATACAATGTGTTCTCCATATATTGAAAACTAAAAGTACCTTGAAAAATGACAACTGAGGTAGCTGTTAGTGAAGTCTTCAAGAAAAGCAGTGGGACCCACATTAGGACCAAAGTTAGGAAGGAGATCCATTTAAATTGCCATGAAAAAATTTTAAGCACTTCACGTCTATTCAAGAACGTCGACTTTTACATGTCTAGACCATGTCAAGGAGACTGGCCTGGCATGCCTGTGGATTATACCAAGAGCATCTCCTTCATGACCAGGAAACAAACAGCCATTTCTCTTTAGGTCCTCACAGGAGATCCCTTTTTAAGCTAACTAAAAGCTCACTTGACAGCCACCATCAAACTACAACATGCTGGAAATAAAACATGGCTTAAAAGAAGTCATGCAAACAATAACACAGGCAATAGCTGCAGTGACCCAGCCCTAATTTATTAATATAAAAATCAAAACACAGAATGGAAATGCCAAAAACAACTTACACAGCTAAAAGATTAAATAGAATGAGAAATATCCATATTAAAACAAAGTAAAGAACTGAAGAATACATGTAGGAATATACTCTAGCTGTAATACCAGATGTAGTTACTTATCAAAAAAGAAAGAAAATGATTGGTGGCCAATCAGCGTACTATCATCCGAAATTAAGAGAAAAAATCAATTCAATTTATGGGACAATAATCATTTTGCACTTGGTGGGAAGAATTTAGCATTGTCGCATTTCAACATGAAAAGCACGAAGAGTATGGACAAACATTACAAGAAGAATTCGAGCCCATAACCTCCCTCACCTAAACGACATGTCTAATGCAAAGCTGAAACCTAAGGGACAAAAAGTATGAACAAATATTACAAGAAAACACTAAACTAAACATGTAAAAAATAATAATATATGAAATTACAAATCCATTAAATAGATTATACATCCTAAATTCAAATCTAGATCCATGCATCTAAAGACATAATAAATATGAATTGGAGATAACATGATATGTGCAGCTGAAGATCTAGAGCACCATGGACCAAAAGAATCCCGGATAATACAGGAGTGTTCAAGAAAGTTACATATCACTTTCCACATTAGATAATATCAACTCAGTTGTCACCATAGAAAATGAAATAAAATAACACTACAATATTCGTCTGCTTTAACTCGTCAATCCTCCCCTCCTAATTCTCTTCATCTGATAACATCAAAAGCCTAAAAAGGTGATAATCCCTAGGCCTTCTCATAGTCAAATTAGGCAAGTCCAAAAGGTCTTCCATAAAATCATTGAGTGCACCAAAAATATTTGGGAAAAGAAATCCTAATCCAAATCCTAACAATTGATTTTGACAAAAAAAAAAAAAGGAAGCCCTTAGAGTAATTAATGATTGATTTTCAATAAAACAATTAATTTTTTTTAAAAAAAAAGAAAAGGTTTTAAAAAAAAAAGGAAACCCTTATTATAGTAATTAATAATTGATTTTCAATAAAAGTTACTTTTTGTTCTTTTCAGAGTTACGACAGTATGCTACATAGGTTTTTCAAGGTCCTTATTATAATAGCCACAAACCACCAAACCAAATGCTTTTCCCTCCTCCATAGGGTAGATAATTTCCAACCAAGAGACCATTGCTAGAAAACACTCATAATAGGGCTAGTGGTCGAGGCTACCGCCTAGGCACCAAGTTGAGAAAGACAATAGAACCTACCTTCTCATGCTTAGTTAAGCCCCTGGGTTTTCTTGACAAGCAAGACTCGAAGCAACCCACTAGGCCAGGGACCTTACCTAAGTGTCATTTGCATTAGTAACAAAGAATTGACAGGCTGCTTCTTTCAGCAACCCTCACTGCTAGTTCATCCTCAAGTACTGAGCTCTTTTCACACCGTCATCACTTCATATTCCACTTTACTTCAACTCGCCAACATTTCCAGTCTCTTTATTTTCTTGGTAACAAATCCATTACAGTACAACATAATCAGAATGTGGCAAGAACACAAATGTTGCAGAAAAACATGGAAATAAAGCAAACAGAATCTTCTTCTACCTAATTTACGTCCTGAACAATGTGGAATGACATAGGCAGTAGCGAGCACAATTCAAAATAAGTTATCACCAATCAAAAATGAAAAAAGAAAGTAATAGACAGAAATATAGTAAACAGAATCTACTATCTAATTTGCCCCATGAAGAAGGGAAGACACAGTCACTAGCCCCATAAAGTTCAAAAAAGTTATCACTGATCAAAACATGAAAAAGAAAACCAAAGTGATGTCCATCAACCTCCACAAAGCCCTCAAGGTCTAGCAATAAGGTAGCAATATTATTGCAAATTCATAGAAAGCAGAAAGGCATGTAACAATACAATCCATATCACATAAAAAGATAACAAGGGGGACAACGTATGAAAAGGTAACAACATATAAAGGAGAAACTTTGAAATGCATTATTATCATAGTTCTAGATTCCTCTAATCAATTGAAAGCCAAAAAATAAATGATTAAGAAAAACGATAGTAGATACATGAGGAAATAGCCTTCAATTCAGCCCAATCCAGAAACAATCTGATCAATTTAAGCCCATGTCATATTAACAAGAAATGACTTAAAAACCCAAGATCGGATTGTCCAATGTCGGAATTGAGTTGAATGGGTGGCTATGATTAAATAGGAAGGATGGCGAGCTTTTTAGGGTTATGAGTTCTTTAAGTATTTGCTATTGAAGGGTTTGTCTTTTGGTGAATAAACTTTGGAGGCGGATTCCTCTTGGTTTTATGATTTTTCCTTCTCTCTCTATTCTCTGCAAATTAAGGTGATGAAGAATCAACCCTAATTTGCATCATCTAGAGAATTAAAGTGCTGATTTGTGAAGAATCAACCCTAATTTGCATCAATTTCTATATGTTGAAGAAAAAATAAAGCCCATTCCTTCTTGGCGTAAAGTGAGAAGAGAGAGAGAGCAACTTCTCCAAACTAGGTAGGTAGGGTTTCCATATGCTACATAAAATAACAGAGACCCATCGTAACAAAGGAAGAGAGAGAGCAATTTCTCCAAATGAGGAAAGGTTTCCACTTGCAACAAAGACCCATCGTTTTTTTGGGCGTAAAGCAAGGAGAGAGAGACCGTCTCTTCTCTGAAATAGCTTTGAAAGCTCCCTCCTCCTTCTGGACGTGCAACACGAAAATGAAGAGAAAGACAAAGAAACAGAGCTAGAAAGAGTACCTCTTTTCTCCGCCAGTGTAATACTCAGGAGGGCCATCAGATTCAGTGTCAGAACCAGGGCGATTGATGTCAGAGAGGGTACGAATGGAGCCCCGAAAAGCAGAAGCTTTTGAGGGCTTCTTCTTGTCACCAGAAGACGACGCCATTACTGCCTTCGTTTCAACAGCAGCAGAAGAAACAGGAAGAGGAGAAGAAGGATTGTTGTTGTTTTCGAAAAAGGAGAGAATCGCGGAGTCCAAATCCCAGTTATGGCTCTCCAAGAAGAACAGGGCTTCCTCTCTAGATGAGGACGCGATCCCTATAAACGACTCTACCACTCTCTCTCTCCCTTCTTCCATAACTATTCTCTCTCTCTCTCTCTCTCTCTACGAGTTATTGTTTTGTTTTTTCTTCTATTTATAATTCTCTCTTAGACGATAGTTTCCCTTCCTTTTATCATTGTCTCTCACCGCAGTTTCTAGCTTATCTCAAATTAAATCACCTGTTGGTTTTTTTTCTCAAGACTTGGGATCCAAGAAAATTAAAGAGAAATTGGCATTTATGTCCCAGACATCCATTATTACCGATGCTTTCTTTCAAAATTTATATTTTATGTTCATATCTTTTTTAATTTTTAAAAATACCTTTACTTATTATCTTGAAAATCCCAATTAAAATAACGTGGACTTCTTCAGATCTTGAAAATCTAAATCAAGATTTCTAAAACTTGACTTCGATATACAAAAATCCAATATTGCAAATTTATCTATTAATCAAGGGCATTTTAGGAAAAAATAAAAAGGGAGAAAAATGAAAATGGACCATAAGCTTTTTCTTAATATTGAAACTTCATTTTTTTAAAAAAAAAATTACCCCCATATCTATATGCTTTTTTTTAATATCTGGAATAATTTTTTGTGGGCTTAATAGGTTCGTAGAGCTTTTAAAAACTTAGTATGGCTCTACCGACGATTAGGTCTACGAAGATGTTAACTTAAGGATCCACATTGTTTTTTTCTTTTTTAAACTCCAAGGACTGTGGCTGTCACGGATCTGTGATTTATAAAGCTATCAAGCATCGACTTAGGTGCTCCCTAAAATTCTAGGAAGCACCCGTTTAGCTGCTTCCATGCAAGTATCCAAATCACTTGCTTGGTGCCTTTATTGACATAATAAGACCATAAAGCTTCCAAGCACGCATTTAAGTACTCCCCAGAATTCTAAGAAGCGCCATTTGACTGCTTCCAAGGAAGTATCCAAATCACTTGCTTGATGCTTTTACGAACATAATAAATCCATAAAGTTCCCAAGCACCCATTTGGGTACTCCTGAAATTCCAGGAAGCGCCCAAGTAAGTGCTCAATGGTTTTATGGACCCAACAAGTCAATAAACATCTCAAGGTGCTCATTTACAAACAATACGCATGGTAAAGGTCTTTATGGACCTAATAGGGTTGTAAAATCCCCCCACGAAGTGCTAGCTGTACTTGGGGCCTTTACCGATCTAATAGGTCTATAAAAGGTCCATACTTCCTAATGGGACCGTAAAGGCTTTGCACTTGGTCCATAAAGCCCCAAAGCTCAAGGGCTTAAGGTATTTATCGACCTATTAGGTTTGTGAAGGACATTTTGGGAGAAAATAGAGAAAAAATAGTTATAGCATCAATTTTGAAGAAAAATAATAAATCCTAATATTTTGAAAATATAAGACATATTATTATAATTTTCCTAATGAATTTATGGGGGTATGAGCGCAGGTTTCTCAAAACTAAACAATCACTCGAAATGGAGTAGCCAATGCGTGCATGCGTCGTGAATGTTTTGTAAAATAAGATATATTTTAAAAATTACAATTTATGAGTAACTATTATTTTTGGGTAATTATTTATCAATAACTTAGAAGGAATATTATTATATTTTATCTATGGGTTGCCCTTTTATCTATTGGATAATTACATAGATCTCATTTTCCTTTCAAATCTCTCATATTTAACATTTACAACCAAGTTGTTCTTTTTAAGAACATATAGTATACTATAATTTTACCTTTTTATATACATCCGAATAAGTCGAAGCTTGTTATCTATTGGACAATTACATGAAGGTCTCGTGGATTCCCAAGGAAAGTATATGCTTAACACGAAGGTTTCTTAGATTCTCAAGGAAAGGAAGAACTTTTTTTTTTTTTTTTTTTTTTTTGGGTGTTGTGCACCCACTACTCTTCTAACCACTCTAACCACTTAGGTTTTGAATCCATTTCTAAAATTACCATGTCTCCTTTATCTACATCGTTTGTTCCAAGATTAAGGTTCGTTATCACCTTTCATGTATTAAACGACACATGATAGATTATCATTAATAAAACTTGTCGGGTCACCTTTTTCAATGGGTGCGGTTTGTATAGGCCCAGGCTCTAAACAATCAAAGTAAAGCCACCTTTAAATAGTGTTGAGAAATATGGTTTCAATACTGAAAATCATTGTGATAGCCTTAACTTATATTTTCATCTTTAATTATAAAATTTAAAACTTTAAAAGTAGTGTAGATAGAGCAGATCTATGAAAACTTGAAAAATCTTGAAAATTGACGGTCCAAAAATACAATACAAGATGTACGATTTTCAAAACTTGAATTCCATATTTTTCCATGTCCATGCATCTTGAGATCCAGATGATCAATTTGAAGATATTTGGGCATCAAAACAACCTCTTCTTTTGAAATTTTTGAGGTGCTTGTTTAGAGCCTCGCACTCATTAAACTTTTTCCTTTTTTAGATAGTTGATGCAATAACAAAAGTAGTGCCTAACGTTAAGTTAATAGTATAATTTGAGCATAAAATGAAAATATGACATAAATATAGATTCTTAATCTATAAAATGGCTTTTGGTTGGAGTATGAGGTTTTTGGGTATTCGAAAGATGCACCTGATCTCCCATTACCAATTACGTACTTTGATCGTGGCCAGACATTCAAAATTTTCCTCGACATGGTCAAAACTTCTTCAACTCATTTACTGAGGCCAAATGAACTTCCCTCAACCATGATCATCCGAACTTCATACACACGTTCATTCTAGCCATTCAACCACCAATCAGCGAAATGCGCTGTGAAACTTTAAGGAGCAATGCATCTTTGTTGAGGTTAACTTTCCATTAAATTGACATTAAACACCTCTTCTCTCATATCTAAAACGGCTTCAACCTGCCCTAGACTCATTTGGTCACACCAGATTGAGCATCGTAACTAATCCCACACAAGCTATTTAATTCTTAGAAGACTACTCCAGCTCTTCATACACACTGACATCTACCGCATCCAAGAAAATATAGTTCTCATGCACACCAAGAATTCATTTACAAATAATATAATATATCATATTATTCCTTTCCAAAATATTTTGCAAAAGAACACGTTGCATGAAACTTTTATGTCCTTGATTGTCTGGTGAGCATCATGTCACGTACTAGGTCTCTGGATCGTAATGTGGAGCCAAGGTCTTCTCCCAACCCTACTATTATTCCACTTTTGCTTAACCACCTTCCTAGTTGTGCTTCCACCCAGTCCAATCAGTACATGACCATAGGGAGAAGTGCTAAAGTGGTGACAAGCCTCCACGTCCCAATATAGTCTTAAGGTCTCTAAGGCACCCAGAGTCATATGGTGGCCAGCTATTCTTGCCCAATGTGATAGGAAACAAGGCTTATCCTATACAGGTATCCAGTGTTTCAAAAATCATCGATTCGATCAGGAATCGAGCGATCTGGATCGGGTATTTGTTATAACCGATCTAAATGCCGTATCGGTAAAACCAGACGGTTCCTACTTTTTTATTTTTCAATCCGGTTTTCTTTTTATGAACCCACCCTGGTTTTTTTGAAATGTGATTTATGTCAACTGGCACTCTACTTTACTACCCTCACGTGATTGACAAATTTTTGCCACCTTGCTATCCACTTTACTCCCCCACGTGATTGACAAATTTTTACAAATTTTTTCCAGCTTAAAAAGTCTCAACGTACAATACGCACGCTTCACATGGCCAAGACAACATATAACAAACCAACTCGTTGGGTTTTTTTATAGTATTCACTCTTCTCACATCGCTTCGATGTGGGATGTATATGTGAGTTGAAAAAACGCTGGCAAATATTATTAGCTTGGGATAAATTGCAGTGAGATAGTGTACGCGCGATGGTGTATGTACGACGATGTATGCTCGTCATGAATAAGAAAGTTGTATGTCCGATTGTGGCAGTAAAATTTGATGATAAAAAAAGAAAAAAATTATTAAAAATAATAATTAGGTGCCCATCACCCCTATATTTCACCAAAAAACTTTAAATTTACTTACCAAAAAAACATAAAAACTCTATTAAGCTACTATATCATGGTATTATTTCATTATATGAGTAATAATTAATTAATTAGTTAATTAGGATTAAAAAATTAGTACTAGCTCATAGGATAAAAAAAATAAAAAGTAATACAACAAATAAAAAAATATGTAGTACAACATCTTCTTCTTTTGTCAAAAAAAAAGAAAAAGATAATCAACAAGTATCATATTTTTCATGTTAAAAAAAATTAAAAGATAACACAATAAGTATTTCTTGTCAAAAAAATAAAAGGTATTTCTTAATACAACTTAGGAATAAATGGTCTAATTAATAACATGATGGTCTTTAACATAAATTTAGTAATATTAATTTAAAGATAGGATTCATACAATGAGGCCATTTGAAATCTCTCACTTTCTACTAA